TTCTAGAAAAATATCAAGATAATCGTCGTTCGCTAGCAATATCAAAAATGGCGCCACAGTACAGTTCGGAGACAAAACAAAAATCCACAAACTCCTAATTACCCAGTCGTAGTCAACATGTAAAATTACTATACAGGTAACTTACGATTTCACTCAAAATGCCAGAGCTTTGGTGCAATTTTAGGCAAAACCGGAAATGCTGTAGGCACAAGACTTAAACAAAACATAAGGCAAAACTATAACTTACTAAGGCGCTTTCCTTGAGAATCAAATTTTCCAGTTGGACATCTCCTGCAGACGTAAACAAGCCATTGTTTTCAGAAAATGTGGTTGTCGAAGGTTTGAATAGAAATCAAAGTGCAAAGAACTTGCAAAGCAATGAAACTCCAGCTACAAGTACCTCCCCAGATCCCAAGCCTCAACTGGGAAGTATCGAGATTCTCCAAGTACTGGCCGGCGAACTTGTTCAAAAGATCGACAACATACGACTCGAACACCATGATTCTTATATGAACTAATTCATTTTCGGCACGAAATAGGGACTAACCATGACTTAATTTGGTATCACACGGTCAGGCCATTGCTTTCGATTAAGACCCGTAGGACACGAGTCAAGCGACTCGAACCTGAGCCCGCGGAAAGTATGACGTCACCACACGCGCCTTATTTGAATTCATATTCACGTTTTGGGCTTCATATTTCACAAAATGTGAAAACAAACCTCGAAAGTTCGGACATTGGGTCGACCTCGCAGCAGCCGCGAAGTCAGGTTCAAAGAAAACGATCCCAGTGTTCCCATAAAACGCAGAGAAGAAAAGGTTTTTCGCCTAGAGAAAAGGTCACTCACCTTTATCAATGTCTTATCTTTTTTTGCGATGGATATTGATTCTTGTTCCTGGACAAAGCGAAAATTAAACGAGGGTAGAGATGCGTGTTTTTTTATCATAAGAGATTCTATGGCTCGTTGCCTAGCAACGAGGTTTTGTTTGACCCCCAACCAATATGGCCGCTAAAACCGTGGAAGGATCTATTCGGCGGCCAAAAAGTGTCCCCGTTAAGCGCGCGGCCAAAATGATCATGTTACATAGCTGTGACGTCACGTCGGCAACTATGGTGGAGAAACGAGAAATCTAGAAGAAAGGAGGAACGTATTACGTGGCCGGAGCGCCAAATGATGTTAGCTACAAAAACAATACACATATACCGGGTATTCCTATACACTACTTTCAAAAGGATGCAGCTGAATGGCCAAAATGGACGCGTTTCGATCGTCAACATCGAGGAGATTTTACTCTTCAATGATGTCGGCCTTATGCTCCGTACCGGCTTCGACGACGCCTGTTACGAACGCATATCACTGGTCAAATCTGGGGAAGATAACCACTGAAGTCAGCCTAAAAAGAATGATGATTAAGGGGCCTGTCACCACATCGTACACGATCGTTCAACATTCTTTTCGGCTGACATTTTGCAAGCGAAGAATAGTGAGCTCCTTATTGTTGTTTATTTTACGCACTTTAGATTTACTCATACTCCTTGTCTCTCCACATGACTACATTTGTGCTTTTCTTATCGTATGAAAATCCTACCAATTTTAGTTTGCGTCGTATTTTAATTATATATTATATTATTTAATTATATTATGCGTTGTATTTTTTGCTCCATCAAAATTCCCATTTGAGATTAACTTGAATCAGATAACTATAAACTCACTCGTTTTCCGCTCGGTTTGACCGGCTCGACAATCGCGACGATAGCCTCTGCCTTTGCAATCTCTGAGGAAAGGAGCAACTTGCAGTGGAACTACCCGGTGACTTCTCGGTGAGAAATCATCCTGCCTCGTGATACAGCTGATCCTTTCCCAAAAAGTTAGCTTTTGGTTTACTGAGGGAATTTCTCTACAGCAACGAAACTCTAGAGCACCGACTGAGGGGAACCTTCGCCGCACATAGTGTGAAGGGAATAAAATGTTATGGCAACAGAAACGAACACAGCTACCCATTCTCAAGATAGTTTTCGCCATGGAAAACAAAAGGCAAACGCAACAAGCTAAACACTCAGTAACGGGAGTTTTTTGTTCTAATCTTGACCTGAACACCGTAGGCGAGAAACCGTCGTTGTTAGTCTTCGTCGAAATCTTCGTTTGATATACGCGGTTCTCCTTCATATACGCAACCTCCATTTCTTCTCTACTACTTGAGCGCATGTATAATAACTCTCGGTAGAGCTTGCTGAAGGTAGGTATACATCGCTATCGGACATTATTTCAAGAGTATGTAAACGCTGACTGATACAAAATTACAAGAGATGTGAGGGATTTGCAATGTCAACTGAGAGTTTTCACAGTTTTCTACGTCATCACCCGCTAATTTGTTACCAGTCCACAGGCTGGTTCTTATCACGACTACCTCATCCATCTGCAGTGATGATAGACTCTCGGCAAACTGTTCCTGGTTGGAGTGGATTCAATGCCGTTGCAAGCAACCAGAAAATACCACTAAGAATGCGATTGATATTGCCAGCTCATAAGTGCTTCACCGACAGAGCTGTTCACAGTCTATACGTTACTGAAGAAGTCTCTTGAAATGGAAACTCAGCTAGGCCTCGACGACACTGTTGTGGCTCTTGATCAGGCAATATATGCAAAGGCCCTAGAGGTAGTGTGGAAACACAAGGAAGAGTTTAAGACCATTGTTCTACGAATGGGAAGCTTTCACGTTACGTGCGTGTTTCTCTCGGTTATTGGAAAGCGCCTCAAGGACAATGGGCTGAGAGACCTTCTGCTCGAGTCCGCATTGGTGGACTGTGGTTCACTTCCTGGCATCCTTTAAGGAAAGCACTACAACAGGGCCTTGCGCACTCACAAGGTTACTACTATTTTTTGTTAGTAATATTATCATTTTTACTTCTTGTTACTTTTGCTTGCGATACTACGTATTTAATTATCATATCCTTCCCTACATTTACTGTAGTTCACGATTAGGTTCGAGGCCTTGTCAGTTGGGATGATATCACCTCTTAGGTTTAGTCCTGTTGCTCTCAGGGTATTTGATCTTACATGTAGAATAATCAAGGCTATTTTCCGTAGCTATTGGAAGTATATCCCTATGCCCAAACAAAAACCCTCATAACAGGAACTCATGGTTGTTATAGATGGTGCTAAAGGCCTTGTTTCGACTCAGCTGGCAGATGTTTGAAGATGAAACACGGGATGATCCAGAAGTACTGTTGCTTAGGCAGACAGTGATGATAGCCACAACCAAAGTGTGAAAAGAGCTCGCATCTATTACATCCAGGAACTGTATGGAACCCCTGAACTCCAAGGGCTGCGGGTGAAGTATGAAGAATTCAGCAAAACTTCAAGCAATAAGACGCGTTCCCTATTAGCAATCGCACATCGCAATGGTGTGTCTCCTTCTGTGTTTCATACGATCAGCCAGAGAAGGTGATTGGAACTTGCACCTCGCTTGTATTCGTGACATGTTTCCCTTGGATGTTCGCCTATGATCGCACCAATTACTCACGATACCTACCAGTCTACTGGTGTGACATGATCTCACTCATAGATGTACACCCTTCTACGCACAAATCTTTCCAAGCTGGCAACTTTGTAGTTCAACGTTCAGGCAATGCATTCAGTCAAGTGGCCGTTGACCAGACTATCGAGCAGACTATTAACAGAGATACAAAATCGAAAGGGTAGAATTGCAGGCTCTAGCCTGAACAAAGGATCCGTGCAGCGATGGTTAATTACCTCCCATGAACGTGTAGTAATCACCCAGGCTTGTCGTCAAATGGCTGGATTGTCAGCGACAAATGAAGAGTGTGTTAGAAAGGAGAAAGGAAAAATAAAGGATGTCAGTTGATGAACATGATGTCAAGAAAGTACAGTCCACTCTTAACTGGGTTAATCCAATCCAAGCGGGGTTGATTTTGTGACAGACCGGTATCCAGATATTTCCATCAAGAATCCCGAGAGGGCAAAGCATGCTACTGCAGGAGCCGTTAGAGTTAAGATGACCGGAGCTGGCCAAAAATGCCCAAAACAATGGAAGAAGTTTTTAAGCAGCGGAGAAAATAAGAGAGCATTAACAAGGTTTCTCCTTTAGCAGAGGTGAAGGGAAGTTTGTCTCAGCACGGGTTGGAGAGATCCAGAATAACTCGGACCCAAGCCAATGGAGGCACATTCCCGGTGAAGAAAACGTAGTGGATGATGTCTCGCGAGGATTGCATGTAAAGCAGCTGACGGGTAGATGGATGAACGTCCCAGAATTTCTAAAAATGCAAGGGGAACCATGGCCAGTCCAAACACCTATACTACAACTAGGAGAAATGGAGCGTCGCCACGTTAACGCCGTCACTGCAGTCTCGCCTGCAGATGTCGGAAATGCAATTGATATGAAGTATTTCTCCAGTTGGCGAAATCTGATACGAGTTACCGTGTGGATAAGGCTTGATATTATGCGGCTTGTGATGGTCATTTGAGCTAACTAGTTCCGAGTGAGGAAACACTTAATATGATTCAGGGGTGATATTGTAAGGAGAAATTAGATGCTAATCACTTACAGGGGTCAAAGGGTTGACACAAACTAATCAGCCAAGCAAAAACACGCCTCCAACAGTTAACTTCCTTGACCACTTCATTATCTGATTTTATTAATTAATCTAACGAATTACAAAATTAACCCAAGCTTTCAGTTGTTATCTGAACATCTCTGAGCTCCCTTCAGTTGCACGATGCTTATCGATTCTACTAGGAAAAGGGAACTGCAGGAAGTCCTGTCAATTTGTTATCAGTTACCTAAATATTGAATACCGCGCGATCGCGATCAGCGAGATTTTCCTCGCATATTTCAATGTTATCCATCTCTTAACAGTGAGTTTCATATCAAAGTTTTTTAATATCATTTCATTATTTCTGGTTTTACCCTATTTAATTATTTTATTATTTAATCATTGGCTCGCTATGCGAACGATACTGAAAACTGAATTGAAAACACTCGCTGTAAACTTTTATCTGTGTTGTATATCACTACAGTGAAAAGCCGTGAAACATCTTCATAACAAAATTTGTTTCAGTAGATTGAATAGTTAAAATGGCGAGTTTTGAACTTGGTAGTGAAACGAAAAATACTTTTTATCTTTCACGGGCGTGAGACAAAGAAAAAGCTGCCAGACTGATGGTGTAAGACTCGATTCTTTATGGTAATTCAGAATTTCTTCCTATTTGTCCCAGACGCGTGACAAGACGAAAAACATCCTTCTTTTAGATTAGTTAAATGAAAAACCTTTCTGAACAGCTCTCTTTGCATGTATACCGGATCATAACTAACTGCTTGGAAATGTAAAAGTGCTACTAAAAATTGGTAATTTCGGAAAATCAGAATACCTAGCAACTTTAGATAAAAGAGACCATCGACGTAGGGTCTGTTGTATTTCACTTGCGTTTCGCATTATGTACCTCATTACTCAAAAAATAATTGTAAAGTGCTCTCTACATTTTAAAAAAATTCTCATCCTCCGGCTGCTAACAGAACTGAGCTAAGGCTAGTTTCTGTATGACCTTTTAATCTTATTATTGAAAGAATAGTTCTTTGCTGTCTTCACCACGAAATTATGAATTCTTCAATGAACTGGAAAGCGTGCATTCTCAACTGCTCATTGAAGGCACTGCAATTTAAGACCGGGCCTCTTTGATTTTTCCAACCAGCCACTATAAAATAATGGAAAGGGAAAGAGTCATTTAAAAATCCATTTCTTTACTAATAAGTACAACTGAGGTGTTATAAGCGACCGAAAAAGTTTTGCGTCATCTACGTCTTTAAGGTCGTACTTTTCAGTTTGTCGAGTTACTTCCACTCACATGTAAACGTAAAGGAGCACAG